CAACCACAACAAAAAGTGACGATCAAGTGTACTTTTATGGTACTTTCTTGAGTAAATAAATATGTATATTTACATATAAAGGTAACTGTGACCATGAATATTAAGCTGCTTTGCTGAGGGTTATGGATTTAGCCAGTGGTTGAAATAGGGTCAGGTGAATTTATGTGAACAGAAGGTTAAGTGGTAATTTATGTGCTGGCTGCTTTTGACCTATGAAACCTTTATCAGGGTTTTCGAATAACCGCATAAAGCAAATTTAAGTGAACTTACTATGCAATGTTGAAATACTTACACCGAAAGTACTATCTTGCATTAAAGTGTTAAAATTACAGACTTTATCAGATTTCAGAACTTCCTATAGTTCTTTAAAGTTTTAGGCCTTCTCTAACTTAAAAAAAAAAAACTATTTCTTATATGAAGTGATCTTGTTTTTTAAGTGTAATTTAAAAATTTTAAATGAGGTAATTATATATCGTAATGCCCCTAAATGATAAAGAAGGACGCTTTTAAAAGGTGAATGTCTTCGGTTTCAGGAATTAAATCAGGAGAAAAATTCACACTTAAATTCTTTTTGAAATGTAACAAAATTCAGTCAGAAGCATGAGTCTAATCATGTGACCTTGAACATGCCCAATCTCATCTGATCTTTGAGCTAAACATAATCAAGCCTGGATAATATTTGAATAGCAGAAAAGGCTCAAGTGCTTCCCTGAAATTTTAAGATTAGGTATTAAGAGATGTACTTTGTTTTGCTTCCAAAAAAGGGCCGATCTTCCTGCAAATCATATCCATTGATGAGTGCGCTACTGTGTGAAAGTTCTTTTTCTTTTTCTTTGTTATTTTGAGACAGGGTCTTGCTGTGTACCCTAGGCTGGCCTCAAACTCAGCAATCCTCCTGCCTCAGCCTCCCCAGAACTAGGATAAGAGGCATGTGCCCCCCCCAATACTTGGGTGAAAGCTCTTTCTTTAAATGAGCATTCCCCTGAGTACTGTAGAATTGATTCTCTTCTTTAGCAGTCTCCACTGCAAAATGATACTGAGTTTTTTTCCAATCTGGCTCTCAGACATTCATTCTGAGCCCCTATTGCATGTCATAAGGGAAAGGGACTTGTGAGTTAGTGACAGACAGCTGTCCCTCCCATCAGAGGAGACTTAGGAGCCAGTGGAAAGTTATAGATTAAATTAAAAGAAATCCCAGTCTAGATATTTTAATTAAATCAGTGCATCTGTATATAGATGCCATTTAAAAATAATGGCTAATTACGTAAAAGCTACAATCTGTTGTCATTTTGAAGTTTTCCCTCACAAGACACAACAATGCTAAATGTAGCTAAATTAAAACGACAAGTCTCTTCCTTGTGTCAGAGCTGTTTTTATCCTGAGTGTGAAATCAGAGATTTTCATCTCAACTTTGTCCTTTAACATTTTTCAAATGTTACACTGGGCTATTTTTAGCATGGAAAAAACTGCATGATTGCTGTTTTTAAAAATCTCCATGCATTATATATTTTTACTAGTGGAGACTGGAGTTGATGAAATGCCCAAATAACAACATAGAGAAAAATAAGAGAAGACCTGCTTGTGAGGAAGCCAGGGCTAGACAGTGTAGAGTGTCTGTTCCTGATGTCAGTTTCCTAGTGTTGCTACTGTGCTGTCAGCGAGGCTGGCTGAAGGGTGTATGGAGTCACCCTGTGTATTTCTTTGCAGCTACCTGAGAACCTGTTGTTAGTACTGCAAATGACTTGAAATAAATAAACACCAAACCCCCCATCCCCCCAGTAACTTGACTAGAGCTTTCCCCAGGGTTCTGCTGGGGTCCCCAGTGGCCCTTCTAGGACCAGACCAGCAGGGCCGTCACCCTGGAGATTGTGGCTCGAGAGGCGTGAGGGGACACAGGCATCCGTGGCCCCAGCCCACCCTGGCTCAGAGCAGAACCCCGGCCCTGTGCCCCAGTGGAAAAATTAGTAAGTAAGACCTAGTACATTCCACATTAGAAAATATCAGAATTACTTCTTCTAGAATACTTGCTTCAGCTGTGCATAGTGGTGCATACCCGCAATCCCAGCACTTGGGAGGCTGAGGTAGGAGGTTTGCCCTGAATTTGAGGTCAGTCTGGGCTACATAGTTGAAGGCCAGATTGAGCTACATAGTGAGATCCTGTGAGATCCTGTCTCAAAAAAAACCTTGCTTCACTTGAGCCAAGTAGCTTACAGAAAACTCAGTCTTTAAAGAAAAACACAGCAAGGAGAAAAAATGAGAACCAAGACCCGTCATGTAAAGGTACAAGATCCCAGTAATGAATGTAACTGTACTGTATACCTAGAATGTACCAATAAACTCAATAAAAATTTTAAGAAAAGAAAAACAGCATACACACTAGCCAGTAATGTTTTTTTAAATGTTTTCCCTTAATTATAACTGAATTCATTTGGATGATGAAAATTTTAGTTAAAACACCTAGTCTTTTCCACCCTGATTGCCTGTGTAATATCAGATTTGTTTCTGTGTTACTTCATGATGAGAAATATTTGACAGTTATGTGACTCAAATTTTCCCAAAATATTTGGGGTCCAAACCTGCCTCTTAGCATCAAGAATAAACTGTTTCTGTTACCACTTCATCTTTAAAGGCCACCATGTTCTCTTGAGTTTCATGGGAGAGATGCAAAGAACTAAAAGGAACCCAAATCACATAGCAATCAAGTTCTAGGTTTGCTTCTGAGGTCAGCGACTGTCATCTGTCACCTGCTACTGTCCGCAGCACAGCGTTCAGCGCTGTCGAGTGCTTCCCTGTGCCAGGTGACCAACCTATCAGATGTTCAGAGTGATGGTCTGTTGCTACGGGAGTGCTTTGGCGTCTCCCATGGATTTGTTTCTGGATAGCGAAGGACACCAAACATTTTAATGCTCTTTCACGCAATGCTCCTCTGTCTGAGTTCAACTTCTTTCTTCCCCCAGTGGTACTGAATAATTGAGCATTCCCAGGGATTCAGTGTCAGGCCGGAGCCTGGGCGCACTGCTTAGCTAGGCCAGTGTGGTGGCCACTTTGGAGGACATGCACTCAGACCCCCACTGCCCAGCTCTGAGACCTGCAGAGGATGTGTGGAAGGTTGGAGAAGACGGCATGCCCTGGCATATTCTTGTCGGTTTTCACTTCAAATCCAGAAAGACAGCCCAGCGGGCTATCCGCCGTGCTTTCCCAGCAGTTCCCTGTAATGCAGGGGAGGGAACACGGGTTCAAAGAGCCGGGCTAGCGGAGGACAGTGGGAGCCAAGGTGCAGACCTTCAGGAACAGTGCCTGAGTGTGGCACCACGAGAGAGTGCTCAGTGTTGTCATTCGGTCCACAAAGATGTGTTCTGCCTACCACGGACCAAGTGCTTTCTCTGGTGATTTTGGGGCATGGAGGATGTGAACCAGCAAAGGCCTGCCTGCGCGGAGCCCATGTTGCAGGCGGGGACAGTGGGGGCCAGCAATAAACAAGTACGCATATGACAGGTCCAGTGGTCCTAAGTACTGGGTTGGATGGCAGGGGTGGCCTTGTGAGGTGGCATGTTGGTTTTCTGTGAGGTGTTGAGGGAGCTTAATGATGAAGGTTACTTTTTTTTCATTTTAATTCTTCTTACTCCATGTTTGCAATACTTAGTCACATTCCTTGCGCAGGGTTAGTGCCTGTGCTGAACACAGCTACATTCTTTCACCCCCTTTTTCTCTCCCCCTCCACCTCTCAGTCCCCTTCCCATTTGCAAAAGATCTCTGTCCCTGTTTACTATGACCTGTCTTTTACTTATACTCTGGGTCTCTCACATAAGAGAAGCCATGTGACATTTAAGCTTGTGTGTCTGATTTTGTTCACTTAACATGATGGTCTCGAGGTGCACGTGTTTCCCTGTGAGTGACACCGGAGATGTGCAGATAGTGCAAAGGGAAGCTGTAAGAAGAAAGAGCTACAGGCAGACGGAGTAGCTGACACAAAGGCCCTGAGGCTGGCATCCTCGGTGCATTTAGGCCCAGGAAGTCAGTGCAGTTGGGGTGCAGTGCACAGGTGGACAGCAGAGCCTTGGTGGCAGGCAGGTGACCAGATGGCAGTCGGCCACCTCGACCATTGGAAGGACTTCCGCTTTTACCCTAAGCCAGATGGAAAGCCATGGAGGGTTTTGGCAGGGGAATGACTCAGTGTAACTTATGTTGTGACACCATTACTCAGCCCTTGGAAGTGAACAGACGAACAGAGGAGCAGTTAGAGATCATACTAAGCTGGCTGAGTGCTGGCAGAGGCTTGGATCTGGGTGGCAGCTGCGTGGTACAAGGACAGCTCCCTGGTTTGTGGCTTCACCTAGAAGGATGGGGATCATCACGAGGAACCAGGGAGGAGTAAGACCGGGGAGGTGGAATGGCACCTTTGGCTTTGGGTGTGTTAGCTTCAGCGTCCCTAATCGTTCTGAGGCAGTCGGGACGAGATAGGGATGCAACACTTGGAGGGCTATGTGTGTCCATAGATGCTGTGGGTGCAGATGGTATTTGAAGTTGGGAAATTCATCCATAATGCACTGATTAAGAACACACAGACAGCAGTTAATTACAGCTTTCCCTAATGTCCCATCTCTTTGATATAGATAAACATGTCATTGTACTCTTTGGAGTTGCACTGTTTAATAATCATTTTTGAATTTATTTTGTTTTCTTAGTGACTTTTACCTGATCAATTGCTAATACTGCTTAAAGTCAATGTGTGTACCACCATTTAAAAGAAAAAAAAAACAAAAGAGGTGTTTGTAGCCATAGAAAATTGAGGTCTCAGAAGTAATTCTTCCTCAAGATAGAAGTTAGTGTAAGTCTGGTATGAATTTTCCATGGTTGTTTCTTTGTTATAAGTATCAGTTTGGGTTGTAATTTCATGGTTGGTAAATCTGGCACGTTTGATTTTGTGAGAAATCAAAGGATGCACTATTAATAGACAGTTTCTTCATGCTGAACTTTAAATTCTTTTTTCCCTTTTCTAGCCACTATTTGCATTTTTAAATGAAGAGAAGTTTAATGTGGATGGGTGGACTGTTTATAATCCAGTTGAAGAGTACCGGAGGCAGGTAAGTCCTGTAGATCCTGTTGTCTGGTCTGTGCTTAGTGACGGTGTCAGCCGTGTTTCCTGAGAACCAGTAACATCCTTGCTGAAAGTCTCTTTAATGGCAGTGGTATTCTCCACATTTTATATTACTGTGAAACGTAGGAACTCACACTATAGCCAGATTCCAAAGGCTAAGTGGCTAAGTTCTGTTTCCTTCCTTACATAAACATCATCAGTTTTGTGTTTAAGAAATAAAAGCCACTTGGGGTCTAGAAAAGTCAAACTTTTGTACCTTACCTTTTAGGAATGGACATTGTTATTTATTTGAATATTTGGGGGCCTAGCTATTAATGTGTTTATATTTAGATTGTATTCATTCTGAAGGGCAGAGCCAAATGAATTAGAACTGTTTTCCCATAATGATGTCTTTTGTGAAGAAGCTTGGATGAGTGTGTGTTACAGTTGCCTTACTTCCGTCTTCTGTAAACTTCACCTACATGCATTTTATTTGCTATAACAGGCCAGAGGCTTGATACAGCTTTACTGTTGAGGGACAAAGGTCATTTTTGACCTGTGGTCGAGCCAAAGCTGTAGAACAACTATAAGTTTCGCAATGGATTTTTCACAATTTTTTTCTACAAAATTCTTAAAATAATTGGGAAACTGTTGAATGAGATTTGAGTATTAAATCAAGCCCACTTGCTTTGTATGAAAAGGCAGCAAATATAAACTCGCAGAAGCCTAGGCTTGGGAAGACCCTTCTAGCCACCTTTTGTACTGCCATGAACCCAGGTTGATTTCCGGTTGCGGTTTTGCAAATTTGTAAGCAGAGTTGATGCTCTGGGATTTTGCTGTAGGCGTTTTACTCTAGAACATGTGTAAGGTTGTATGTTCTGTTTTTTGCACAAACCAGCTTTGAGTTTTCAATGACCTCTATTCTGGATCAGCTACCAAGGTAGGAAAAAGACCATTAAAACATTTAGCATTGGCAGACACCCATAACACTAGCATTCTGGGAGTCTGAGGCCAGAAAACTGTACTTTCTAGTCCGTCCTCAACAGCTTAGTGACTTAGCAAGACACTGTCTCAAAATTAAAAATAAAAAGGGCTGGGGATGTATCTCAGTGCAAGGGCCCTGGGTTCAATCGCCACGAAAAAAATCAATCACCACTGGGTTCAGTACTACAAAAAAAAAAATAGTTTGCATGTTTTTGAGACCTCTATAACATTATGCATTAAAATATTGTATTTCTGGAGCATTATTGACAATATTAAGACTCTCCTTTAGTTCAAAGCTTCTAGCTTGAAACCAAACAGTTCCTGTTTTTAAGATTGCATGCATATATGAACTGTCGAAGGTATTTTGTTCGAGACTGCCATTATTTTCGATCTTTTTTTCTTATAACTTTCTGATGGGCCTTAAAACTCTCTAATTGGACTCAGCATCAGACTCAGCATCTGGTCCGTGGTTCATAGGGCCAGACCTAAAGAAAAGGTACAATGTCTGTCCCCAAAGCACACACCCACCGAGCTCACTTCCATGTGTGTATTCGTGCGTCTGTGAGTATGGGGAGAGAATGTTCCACCACCTCTGGGCCTTGTTCGTGCACAGTGGGGTTTGTGGGTAGCTGACAGGCTGGGAGGTGAGCATCCTGCTTCTCGGGCAACTTCTCCCACCCCTAGAGGGCAAGCAGCAGTGCCAAACTTGATTTAAAATCTCATTGGAGGTGGCGAAATGAGCCTCCCCAGAGGGGTTTTCTTTTCTATCCCCTCTGTGATTTTCTCCATGAGCCTAGCCTCTTTCTTTCTGAGGAAACACTAAAGATTCACTGTTCTTAGTAGAGAGAGGAAGGTGCCTGAATGAACTCTTTTCTACTGGCCAGTAGAGGCAGATTAAAATTATACATGGCACCCAGGAGTGGTGGTGCACACCTGTCATCTTAGCACCTGGGAGGCTGAGGCAGGAGGATTGCCATGAGTTCCAGGCCAGCCTGGGCTACACAGTGAGTCCAAGGCCAGCCTGGACTGCATAGTGAGACCCTGCCTCAATAAAAATCAAAAATACACGTGATACTTGTCTTGGGGTGCAGGAAGTGCATGGGTGGGGGATGAACTTGGGTTTATGTGTATTGTACATGTAGTGAAGAATATCGATAGAAAGTAAAAGAAGATCTCCAATTCAAGAGCATCTGTATTTACAAAGACTGGTTAGAATTTTGTAAGCCACCAATGTTTTGTCTCGTGTTCTTATGTTGTCTGGATCCTGGATTTGACCCCCTGGTGACAAGCAGACAGCCACCATCACCTGTGGTCACAGGCATGTGCACCTAATGCTAGAAAGGAGAGAGCCCGGACAGAGCCAGGGACAGACAGGCCGTGTGAGCTGACCTCACCTTCCTGTCTCCCTGCAGGGCCTGCCCAACCACCACTGGAGGATAACTTTCATCAACAAGTGCTATGAGCTCTGTGACACATACCCAGCCCTCCTGGTGGTTCCCTATCGCGCCGCAGATGAAGACCTCAGGAGAGTCGCCATCTTCAGATCCCGAAACCGAATCCCAGTGAGTATTTAAGGGAGTGAGGGAGGACAGGCTCTCTGTGACTTTCACCCTGTCCTACATCCCGGCCCCCATGTCCCTTCCTTGTTATTAGGCTGAGCTTGTCCTTGTCACCTCTGCAAGCTGCCTCAGTCCCCTTAGCGAGTGACTCCAGACCTTGTGCCAGTTCACACGGCGCCCTTTGTGGTCCTTAATATTTATGGACGTGTCATGCACAGTCTCCTGCATCTAATTTTGTTTGACTAAAAATTGCAGGATAATATTTTTCCTCATAATTTTCATGCTCTGTCATATTAGGTACATTGGGTTTTATTTCAGAGTAGTAGATTTTTAAAAACAGAAGTGGAAGAAATTAAGATTTAATGTCATCTCTCCTTTAACTCACATGTCTAGGCATTCTTGTCCTTACAAGGAAACTAGTAAGAAGCTTTTGTACACTGCCACCCTAAGATGAGTTGTAGCTCTTCGAATTCTCTTTCTTCTCTGGTTATTACTTTCTGCTCGTATCTTCATGATATATATTATAATGAAAAGTCTGCCCTTGGCTTGTCGGGGTGGAACACAGTGCCCAAGAAGTGAGAGTCCCAAGTTGCGTTCTTTTGCGTGCCACTTGGATGGGTTTTTCTGGGCCAGAGCCACAGTCGCACTGCTGCCCCTGGCCAGGTGCCTCCTGCTGTGCGCCTTGCCCACAGGGAGGCCTGGGTGAGGGTAGCTTGGATCGGCCTTGTCTCCTGATTCATTTAGTATTTATTGAGCATCTTCTGCATCAGAGGGGAGTGTGTGTGTGTGTGTGTGTGTGTGTGTGTGTGTGTGTGTGTTTGTTTCTCACAGGATGTGGGGGAAGAGAAGACATGAAATACTTGTGCCCATGCCACTGGATTCAGTCTGCCATGTTGATCCAGGACTCTACCTTGTTCTAACTGTAGAGCAAATAGCATTTCTTAACTTTTATCTAGGTGTTTTATGGATCCTCCTTACCTTGTGATGGCCACAAATTTAATTTTCTGGAACAAAGAAAAGACTAAGGCTAATCTGTCATCACCTCAGTACATTCCTATTGGTCTGCTAGTAGATGGCATGCAGCCTGGTAACACAGTCTTTCTGGCGTACCTTCTAGCCGCCAGACTCTTGCCTGACAGTCAGAGTTTCCCCCAGTAAATGCATTTGCCTCTACGGTGAAAGCATTAGTACTTTTATTTCAAATGAAAACACATATAAAATACAATAATAATTGATGAGAAGTATCAGGTTGTTTTGAACATAGAAACTGTAATACCGTCCCATGGGGTAATGAAATAACCCACAGGCATCGATGTTTGTGTTATTCGACACATGTGCCTTTGCTCTCAAGCAAGTGTGTCTTTGTTTAATGGAAGTCTGTTCCAAATGTTTTAGAAAATACTGATAGGCAAAAAGGAGCCTGCCACGTAGTGAGGGCCAGTGTTACCTTTTTGGTATATATCCTTCCAGAGTTCCTTCTGTGCATTTATTTATTTATTCAGGAAATGACATTATTTTATAATTTCTGGTTGTCTCTTTTGTATATCTAGTAACATCTTTTGGGTCAGGGGTTGAGGCAGGTCTCCCTTTGTAGTTCAGGCTGGCTCTGAACTCACAGTGACCCTCCTGCCTCAGCCTCCCCGGTGTGGGATTACAGACATGGGCCACCATACCCGGCTAGTAACATCTATTTCATTCATTTATTTTTGTTAGCCCATGTTTGCAGTACATAGCATTTGAGGAGTTGGTATGTGTGTACAACAAATCTTCATTCCTTTTTTTATTCCCTTTTTCCCCCTTCCCTCCATCTCTCGATCCCCTTCCCATCTGAGACAGGTCTGTCTCTGTACTTCTATTATCTCTTTTTTGTTTTTCTGAGCAGTGTCTTCTGACCAACATTCTGCACTGATAAGCACGATCTGCTCACTCGCCAGTAGGCAGATATACCAAGATTTATTATTTCACTGTTGTGAGACATCTGGGTTCTTTTAATCTCTTTTCAGTTTTTTATTTTTTATCAGTCAGTGTTTGCGTGGGGAGTTGGTACATGTACATAACGCATCTCAGTTCTTTTTTCATCTCCTTCCCTCCCTTCCCCCGTCCTTTCCTCCCCTTCCCTTTTGCAAAACATCTCTCTCCCTGTTTCCTATCATCTGTCTTATTTTGCTCTTTATTTCTATTTTGGGTTTCTCATATAAGAGAAACCATACAATATTTAAACTTTTTAATCTTTCGCTGTTATATACAGTGCTGTTGTAACCATCTTTCAGTGAGTCAATTTTTGTGTGCATTGTATATGGCTTCTGGATGATAATTCATAAATAATATAATGCAGTGCCATGTACTTGGTAGCTGCTATTGTGAAGTGAACATTATTGCACCCATTTGGCTCTACAGTGGGCATCCTCTGAAAGGGTAGTTCGTGTGCCCCCCAGAAAGAGTTTAGGAGGCGAAACAAGCCATTTCCTAGCAGGGTACCATGAGAGGAGGAGGTGGGGACTGAATGGAAGGCGTTGCTGGAGAACCGTGTCTTGCTAGTGATGTGATTTCAAGTTGATGAGGGCCTTTCTCAAGTGGGTAGCTGTGCTTTTCTCAAGGTACTTCCCATCTTTCCTCGCTGTCAGTGCTAGGGCCCTTTCCCAGGGACCCCAGTTTTGAGCTACAGACCACCCAGCAGGGGCCACAGCGGTGTCCTTGGTCTCTGATGTGGTGCAGGGAGCCAGACCCTGCTTTGGAAAATGAAGGAGCGTTCTTCATTATCATCATCTTTGTTCCGACACCCGTTGTCATTATAATAAACATCAGTGTTTACAAAACTCTGTTCGTCACTTCTCATCGCAAGGTGGGGAGGTGACTTGAGAGAGGTCGAGCCACACGACTTTACATGAAGCAAGTCCAGATGCTCCTGCTTCTGTCCCTCCGGGTCTGTGTGTCATCAGAGTGACCTGACCTTCCCAGCTGCCGGGCCCGTCACTAGAAGCGGATGCCAGCACGCTTATTGCCTCGGGCTCTCTTCCTTCTTCCTCCCTGTAGCCCACTCAGGCCAAGGAAGAGAGGGAAGCCTAAGACACCATGAGTCAGGTGCCTGGTCTCAGAGCCGCAGCAGAGCTGGCACCCACTGTGCTACACTTGACAGCTCTGCCTGTGTTTGTCACCTTTAGAGACACGTACAGTGCGTACGGACACACATGCACAGCAGTGTGTAGCATATATTTATTCATTCATTTTGAGACAAGGTCTTGATATGTAACTCAGGCTGGCCTGGAACTCACTATGTAGCTCAGGCTGGTCTCAAACTCATGGTGATCCTCCTGCCTCACCTTCCTGAGTGCTGAGATTACAGGTGTACACCACCATGCTCAGCAACTATAGCATTTATTTTTCAGCAACACATAGTAATTGTACTTATTTATAGAGCACAGTGCACCATTTCACAAAGCGTCTGTAGCACATCCTGAAAACATCAGGCTAAGTGTTGCGAGCAGCAGCTCAGATATTTCTCTCTCCTTGTATTGGGAACATTGGAAATCTTCTCCAGTGGCTCTTCTGAAGTATTCGGTGAAGTGTCACCCTGCAACAATAACTGTCATACCATACTAGAGAGCAAGAGAAGCCAGACTAGCATGTCTTTCCAAGAGCTTTCTCACAGGTCCCCACCTCAGGTGTACGGCTCAGGCTTTCAGGAAGTCGTGTTAGGGAAGCCAGGAGTCAGAGGCAGGCTTGTGAATAAAATGCCAAGGAAGGGCTTGACCAGCACTCCTGGGCTCCGTTCTCCAAGCTGCTCTGTGGACACTCGCAGCTCTCTGGCCGCTCGAAGACCTTTGTCTTCCTCCTACATCAGATTCTAGACTTGAGACTGCTTGGAAAATGACCTACAGACTCGAGTTCGTATTCTGAGCATCTTATTGTACCAGAGATGATTTCCTTTTCCTCTCACTTTTGACTGAAGTTGTTTCCATAAGACAGTGAACCCAGTGCAAGCTATGGAATTCACATCCGAATGTTTCTGTTTCCTTTAAGTGAAACAGCCTTTTTTGAAGTAAGTATTTCATCTCTGTTAGATAGCGTGTGAAAAAAGACTGACAGAGCAGCTGGTTGATCAGTTGTTCCCTGAGTTCTAAGTGTTTCTGGGCATCCACACTGTGAAATTGCAAGTTGAGTGAGTCAGAGTCCCTTCTCCATCATTAGCGTGCTTTCTCTTCTGGCTTTAATTGTTTTGGCTTTGTTTTTCTGAGACAGGGTCTCACTGTGTAGTTCAGGCTGGCCTGGAACTCACAGTATAGCCTGGGTTGGCATCCAACTCATAGCGCTCCTTCTGCCTCAGCCTCCCGAGTGCTGGGATGATAGGTGTGCCCCACCACAGCTGGCTTTATTTTCTTGAGACTTGGTTTCTTAAACCTTCTGAACTAATTGTAGGTGCTGTCGTGGATTCACCCTGAAAACAGGACGGTCATCGTGCGGTGCAGCCAGCCTCTTGTTGGTATGAGTGGAAAACGAAATAAAGATGATGAGAAATATATCGACCTCATCAGGGAGACTAATAGACAGATTTCAAAACTCACCATCTATGATGCAAGACCCAGTGTCAATGCGGTGGCCAACAAGGTAAGTATATTCAGTGCCATAATGGAAACTTAGTTTCTATATGGTGTGTGGTATTTTCTGGGAATGGTTTATCAACAGCTGAGTATTTATTTATTTAGAGAAACTGGTCTCAAACTCCTGGGCTCAAGCAATTCTCCTGCCTCAACTTCTCAGACAGCTGGAACTATGGGTACATGGGATTAGATTAATAGTTAATAAACTAGTTTTCTTAAGGAGAAAGTGGTTTTGGTTTTCTGAAACAGGGCCTTATGTAGATCAGGCTGACCTTGAACTCATATTGATCCTCCTGAGTACTAAGATTACAAGCATGTGCTACCACCACACCTGGCTAAATAGAAAGTAGTTTTAATTAAAAAGAAAACCTTACATTAAAATCAAACGAAAATAAACAAGGTAGACATGCTTAGAACTGCAGCACACTTGGGTTTTGTCCAGAATCTTGGGCAAAAGCGAGATTCTCTTTGAGGTCTTTTGGCTGGGGAGGATCACGCTCTGCCTAGTGGTGTGCACCAGGAATTGTGTAAGGATCAGTGGGAAGCCACAGTTATAAATCTCAAATGTGTAGCTGTATGCAGACATTCTCTCCCCCATAGCCATACCCCTCAGAAATGGGTATTCTTGTTTGCTTAAGATTTCAGGATATGAGTAGATCCATGTGTGTGAATTTTCCAGTGAGACACACACACAAATAGAGTGTTTTCAGAGAAGTCAGTGGCAGTTGGCGTTTTGCCTTCTTCCGCACTTGAAATCAGTGCGCGTCGTCACTGTGAACGCCCATGACTGTGTGGTGTCAGCCTCAAAGCTTCGGCAGTCAGAAGGCCACCTTGTCCGTATTGATACAGCTTTACTTCGGGGTCTCCTGTTCGTACTTTTGCTTTGTCACCCTTGCCAGCTGTGGCTCCCACGTGTTCGCAGAGGGCCTGGCCCCAGGTTGCTCACTCCCTCTCTGCCTCGCAGATTTACGGCTTCTCGCCAGCTGTAGGCTTCAGTTCCATCATCTCCAAGGTTATTTATCTGACATCTTCCGTTATTCAGAGCACACGATGGGGACCTGAAAGACAACAAGCCCTTCCGCGGCCCAAAGAGCTGCAGCCACTGCTTCTCCCTAGGGCGTGTCCCACTGTGGGCACGCATGAGGCCCATGGGCCGCCTGCCCACACATTTAACCTGTGCCCCTACCCAGCCCCATGCACATTCGTACAGCAGCTGTTTGCTACCACAGTTGGTCTGGCTTTAGGGATGATTTTGAACTTCAGTGTAAGACAATCAGGAAGTTAAAAGGATGAGTCCATTAGGAATTATAAGTAAAACATTGAGGAAATTAAATCTAAATACCTTCTTGGATTATCCTTAATTTTTTATATTTCTGTTCCTATTATCCTTCATATATAATTCAAAGTGAATGCACGCATAAAACACAGTATTTCCATGTACAAATCTAGGCCTGAAATAGGGTATAACATTAAAATGAAGTATTCAGAAAGAATATTTTAAAATATTAAAATGTGTGAAATGAATACCTTAATTATATTGACTCTAAAGCTCATTACAAGCAGCAGAATTTCTGAATGCCTTTTTAACAGTCAGGAAATAAGGCTGTTTCTAGTCCTTGAAGGAACTGAGGAAAGGAAGAAAGCCCAAGCTTTAAAGAGCTCTGGGTCATTCTTTGAGAGACCCAGTTCGGGTTTCCTCCTCCCGAGCTGTATCTCTGCTCGTTGTCTATCTCCATGGCAACAGACCCTGGGACCTTTTTGTCATTGTACTAGGTAATTTAGGCTGTTTCTTTTTGTTTTGGAAAGGAAAACTGAAGAGAAGACTTCAGAAGTAACCAGAGACAGAGAATTTGAACTTTGGGGGACTCAATCTGTGCTTGACTAATTGATTTTTACCCTTTCTGACTCCTGTTCTCTTTGGCCCTAATTGTTCCTCCCTTGTGGATATTTAGAGGTCTATAATCCCAGATGTAACCAGCAGCATCACATTTCAAATTAAACAAAACTGGGGTCAGGAAGATCTAGCGTTAAGCTGCTTCTATTTTTATAGCAGTACCATGAGGAATTAATTAAAGGCAACTGCATTGTCTGTTTTTGCTAGAAACTTTAGCAATGAGTAAAAAGCACATTTTTCCTTTTTTTTCCATGTATCATTTTCAGTTACCTGGGAAAGGAACCCCCAGTGTCAAGACTCTCTTTGAAAATGATCATAATTGTTTAAAAGCCCCAGAGCAGAGCAGCAAGTTATCTGTCTATGGGAAGGTGACAAGTGCCATCGCAGCACACACTTGCAGGTGTAGTGAAATGCACATTGGCCCTGTGGTTGCAGTTGCACAAGTGCCAGGTGAAAGGGAAGGTGTCCCGCATGTCCGGTTCCTTACTGGCCCTACACTTATTAAGAATCGCAAGGTATTCACTGTCTTTTTACCACTGAAGCTGTTTGGTTCAAGCACTAAAGAAATGCGTTTGCCTAAATATGTGTTCTCGCCTAGAGGGTGTGCAGACCAAGGCCTCTGGCTTGTCACAGGGGTCTCTGTACTGAAGTTCAAGTGCAGGAAACCTTCAGTGTGACCAATCCCAGAAAAACCCACAGTGGCTTTGGCCTTCCAGGCCTGGCTCCAAGCATACATTCCTTGTGTAGTCATAAAGAATAGCAAAGAGGCATCTTGTAGCAACAGCACAGTTGTCTGGGGCTCCCACTTTCTTCCCCAGTGCCAGGCAGGTGTTTCCCTATGCTCTTCCTATGGGCAGTTGACACTTAGCCTGATGTGGCTTTCAGCACAAGTCTCAGAAATGGGTGAGTTTTTCTTAAAGAGCCAGAGGCCATGGGTCGTGGGCCATGTTCCTACCGGCTTAAACCACCAGTGGTACTTGCATGCCTGTCCCAACAGGCCACTTGTCGCACTGGTGTTACCAATAGAGCTAATCGCTTTTAATGGTCTTTTTACTAATAAAATGAATAAAAAGCTGCTCGATGGGACAGTCATACACATGCCACTGGTGGTTCAAGCCGCCCTGCAGCAGGACATACAAACTATGGTTCCATCATGAACATGCTAAGCAGAGTGCCACCAGGTCCCTAACCCAAACTGTAGAGCCTCTTTCAGTCAGTGTCAAAGACAGGTGCTCTTCAGCATGCTATGGAGGTGAGCGGGGACCTGCCCTGGCAAGGGAATGCTTGCAGGTACTGCAGTGGGCGGCAGCCACTGTTCCCTCTCAGAACCTTATACTTGTTGTGTGCTATGTGCAGTGTTCTGTCCTTGGTGTGTGCAGAGCTGAAAAATTTCCATGATGTAGTAGAAAAGGTTTGGGACTGAAAGTCAGATTAGACTGAAATTCTACTCATTACCTGCGTGACTTCGTTAGTAACTAAATTGCATCTCCAAGTCTGTTTTCTTGTCTGCAGAATGAGGCTAGCAATGCCCATCTTGCCACATCTGTGTAAAAGAGAAGCTTTCATACAGCGACTCACAGTACCCGAGACATTAACAGGCCAGTGGTTGGTCCTGCGAGAGCCAGGGAGTGGCACCCACTGTTTTAGAGAGAGGACATCGGGGTTCGGGTTAGTGCCTCACCCCAGATCACACTGGGAGCAGAGGCTGAAGCTGAGCTCTGGGCTGGGTCTGTCTGTTCCAGAGCTTGTCCTTTTCCCCTCTTGCATCTTGTCCTGTGTGAGCTCTGTAACAAAGCCAGGGGCCTCTGTGTTCCCACGGAACTAATGGATGATGAGGACCTTTCTGAGCCTCCTCTTGCCCTTTGATCCAGAAGAAAAGCCAGTAATTACAGAGCATTTTGAAAAGGATTTTTGTCTCCTGAGTAGAGTCCCCAGCAAACTGCTAGCCTTCCACCCAAGCCACACCAAGTATTTAAATTGGAGGGATTTGGGATGAGATTTGGAGGACAAACAACTTGAAATATTTGGGTAAGTTACTGATGAGACAGAAAACCCAACTTTGTTTGTGTATCTTCTTGTCTCATAGGCAACAGGAGGAGGATATGAAAGTGATGACACATATCACAATGCCGAACTGTCCTTCTTAGACATTCATAATATTCATGTTATGCGGGAATCTTTAAAAAAAGTGAAAGACATTGTTTATCCTAATGTAGAAGAATCTCATTGGTTGTCCAGTTTGGAGTCTACTCATTGGTTAGAACATATCAAGGCAAGTATACTTTTTTTAAATATTTGCATATATAAAAGCAAATGCTTGTTTAGTGGAATACCGATTTTTCCTTATATATTTAAAAATGGAAAACTAAGAAAAATTCTCTGTAGTAGAAGTCTACAGTTGGCAGTTTTGCTTTTTTTGGGTTTTTTTGAGACAGGGTCTTGCTATGTAGTTGAGACTGACCTGGAACTCACTATGTAGCCCAGGCTGGTTTCAAACTCACATCGATTCTCCTGCCTCAGCCTCCCAAGTGCTGGGATTACAGGCGTGTGCCACCACGCCCGGTAGTTTTGTAGTTTTTATAATGTTTTTACCTAAATTAAAGATTTCACATCATCATTCCAGCTTATGAGACAGGGTCTTGCTATGTAGTTGAGACTGACCTGGAACTCACTATGTAGCCCAGGCTGGTTTCAAACTCACATCGATTCTCCTGCCTCAGCCTCCCAAGTGCTGGGATTACAGGCGTGTGCCACCACGCCCGGTAGTTTTGTAGTTTTTATAATGTTTTTACCTAAATTAAAGATTTCACATCATCATTCCAGCTTATTTTTAGTTTGTAAAGATTTATCTTTCATTCTTGTCAGTGGTAAACAGTTCCATATTTCGTACAGGTTTATTTAGAAGTAGCCGATTTATTATCTCACCTTTACTGGGTACAGCCCCTGTGGACCCCTAGACAGAGGAAGGTGTTTTGAAACTAAACTCACTCTTGAGTCATTTTAAAGAGTGGACCTTGTGTTTTTATTGTGGCTAATCCTTCATCCTGAAAGAAGCATCTCAAATGCTCTACTCTTTTAAAAGGAGAACTATGTGATGCTATCAGAGGGAACTAGCACCTTTAGAAACCATTCCACTCTGTAAACCATCAAAAGGCCTACGTTAAGTAGGTAAACTACTAAGACAAGTTATATTTACTGGGCCGGGCATTTAGCTCAGTGGTTCCTCTGCCTGCCTCACAGGCACGATCCCTGGTACCAAAAAAAAAGTTACATTTATCCTAGTGAAATTTTACTTTCTAACTCTGTTATAGTTTAGTTCTAAAATATCTCTAAAATCAGTGCTCACAGGTAGGGCTTTTGGAAGGTGATTTGATCATGAGAGTTCTACCCTCACCTGTGGAATAATTATTGATGAGTTCATAAATGAATGTCTTATTAGGAGGTGGGGCCTGGTCAGTAAAGGTGGGTCCATGAGGGTGTGAGCTGGATGGATGTTTCTGTTCTAAATTTTCTTATTAGTCCATATTAGCAGTACATGGTGTTTACATTCATCTTAGGGAGTTAGGTACATGGACTTAATATGTCTTAATTCTTTTTATTCCCCTCCCTACTTCCCCGTTCCCTTCATCTCTTCCTATTTGCAAAAGATCTGCCTCCCTGTTTCTTACTGTCTTGTATTTTGTTTATTTTTAAATTATTTATACTTTGGGTTTCTCATATAAGAGAAATTACATAGTATTTAAGCTGTGTGTCTGATTTATTTCATTTAACATTGTGGCCTCAGGGTGCATCCATTTTCCCCACAGATGACTCAAATGTATCCTCCTTATGGCAGAGTAGTACTCCATTATTTGTAAATGCCACATTTTCTTTCTCCATTCATCTGTTGATGGACACTTCCAATCTTTAGCTATTATGAGTTGTCCTGTGCTATAATCATGGGTGTGCATGCATCACTATAATATGATGTCTTTAACTCTTTTGGGAAGATACCAAGAAGGGAATAACTGGGTCAAATGGAATTTTTAGTTTCAGTTTTTTGAGGAACCTCCATACTGATTTTACTATTGACTGTACCAGTTTACATTCCTACCAACAATGTAGAGGGGTTTCTGTTTTCTTTGAAGCTTTGCCAATTTTATTGTTTGGATGATGGCCATTCTTTCTGAAGTAAGATGGAATCTCAATATTGTTTTAATTTTCATTTCTCTGATGGCTAGAGATATTGAATTTTTTAATATATTTATTGGCCATTTGTACTTCTTCTGAGAAGTGTATTTATCTCAGTTGTCCATTTTTTGATTGGGTATTTTGGGGAGTCTAGTTGTTTATCTTTTTTTAGGTTTTTTGTAAATTCTTGATATTAGACTTCTGAAGTGTAACTGGCAAACATTTTTTCCCATTCTGTGCTGTCTCATCACTCCATTGATTGTTTCCTTTACTGTGCAGAAGCTTTTCAATTTGATATCATCTCATCTGTTGATTCTTGTGTAACTGGGGTTCTGTTTAGAAAGTCCTTTCCTGTACCTTATGTCTTCAAGTTTTACCTAGTTTATCTTCCAGCAGATTTATTTTATGTCTTTCTCCATTTTATTTTATATTATTTTATTTTGATGCATAGTGATAGGTAGGCATCTAGATTCAATCTTCTGAATATGTATAACCAGTTTTCTAGCTCCATTTGTGAAAGTGGTTATCTTTCCTCCAGTATATGTTTTTGGTCCCTTTTCAAAAATCAGATGGTTTAATGTGCTGGAAGTTGTTTCTTCATCTTGTATTCTATTCCATTGATCTGAATGTCTGTTTTGTGCTGGTATCATGCTGTTTTTATCACTGTAGCTTTGTGGTATAACTTGAAATGTGGGATCATAATCAATTGCAAAAGAAACCACAGAAATTTTGCAAATGTCTGGACATGAAATAATACACTCCTGAACACTGAATAGGTCACACATGAACTCAAGGAAGAGCTAAAATAATTCCTAGAGTTAAACAATAAAGCCATTATAACATACCAGAACCTGTGGGACACAATGAAAGCGATCCTAAGAGGTAGGTTTGTAGCTGTGAACTCACAGTTTATAGCTCACATTAGAAAAATAGAGCAAGCTCAAATAAATAACCAAATGATACCCCTCAAGTTTCTAGAAAAATAAGGACAGTCCAAACCAAACCTAGTACAAAGAAGGAAATCATAAAGATCACAGCCAAAATTAATCACATTGAGACTTTAAAAATACAAAGAATCAATGGATTAAAGAGCTGGTTCTTTGAAAGAATAAATAAACAAACTCTTAGCCAAACCTACCAAAAGAAGGGAAGAAAAGACCCGTATCAGTGCAATTAGAAATGAAAAAGGCAAAATCACCACAGGCACTGCTGAAATCTAGAAGATCATTAGTAACTACTATGAAAAATTATACTCTAACAAATTGGAGAATATTTAAAAAATGGACAGATTCCTAGATACATGGGAATTACCAAAATTGAACAGAAAAGACATAAAAATCCTGAACAATCCAATAAGAGACAGTGAAATTGAGGCAGTAATGGAAGAATGCATTCTTGTTCCTGTCTCCTTCCCTTCTCTCTGCTTTCTGGTTGCCATGGGTTGAGCTGCTTTCCTTCACTATGCCCTTCCACCATGCTGTTTCTGCCTTGGAGCCAGACTACCATGGACTGAACCCTGAAACCATGAGCCAAATGGACTCTTTTAAGTTGTATGTGATGTATTTGGTCTTAGGAACAACAAAAGAATGATCTGACTTAATACAAACTTGATAGGAATTGTGTTTTTATTTTTTTATGCTTTATCATCCTCAAAACTAAATGGCAAAACTAAGTTTAATCATGAAAGTTAAGCATAATCAGGTATCCTAGATGAGTTTCTGGATAAATGACAGGTAAAAACTAAAGAACTCTGAGTAAAATATGGACTATTAATACATTCGCGAGTTATTGCATCAATATTGGTTCATTATTTGTGACCAATATACCATATAATGTGACAAATTATAGTTGTGACAGATGTACCATAAATGTCAGTAAGAGGGGAAACTGAATTGACTATGAATACTTTCTCTAGTAGCACTTTTACAGGTTTTCTGTGCATCTCAAAACTATCCTAAAATTTTTTTAAAATTTAGAAAACCGCTTCCACACTTTTTTGGTGCACAAATGGTAGACCCTGTGAATAGAAACAAGGAAAAGATATGTGTCCTGCCTTCATGGGGGTTCGTTTATGGTTAAAGAGATGATCTGTATGTGTAAAAATAAAAGCGTAGTATTCTAAAGTACCATGTGTTCAGTACCAGGCGGGCCTTCTCAGCAAAGACAGTGAAAGGAACAGGCCCCTTGGGAGCCAGTGGGACTTGATCTGGTCCTTGAAGAAAGCAGAGATGGAAGAATCTGTTCTAGGGAAAGAGGTCAGCTGAGACAAAGCCCAGAAACAGGCCTGGGTGAGACTGTGTTAGCTAAGAGTGGGGATTTCTATAGATGCAGGTTGATCTAGACCTCTGGGGGAAGCAGGCAGTCAGGGGTCTTGACTGCCAAGTTAGGTTGTAGGGAGCCACCCAAGTTTGGGAATAGAATATTGGAGAAAATGTTCTATCAGGTGCTTATAGAATGGGTAAGAGACAGAGGAATGTGAAGACAGAGAAAGCAGAATCGTCTCAGGAGTGAATACATGGGGATAGAAATGGTCAGTGTGGGGATGGGGTATCTACAAGAGACAGACACAAGATGTGGCCAAGAACAGGCCTGTAGTACTTGATGACAAGCTGGGCACAAGATCTAAAGAAGCGGAAGACGATGCCAAGTGAGCCTAGCTAACTGAAAGGATGATGGATAATTGTACAGATGAAGGGTAACCTTGATCAAGACCTTGGCCTAGAGAAACATCATGCATTTGGCATAGGTGGATGCCCTTAGGAACATCCAATAAGCAGGTTTTCATGCACAATGGAACTCAAAATAGATATTTAGGGCTGAGGTGTCTGTTTGGGGATCAGCTATTGGGCAACATGTGCAGGTTGAACACTTGAATATGGATTCTGAGAGAGAGGACATATGAACTGACCAAGAACTGAATGTGAATGGGGCCTTGGCCATGTTTGTATTCAGGACAGTAGGCGAGAAGTGGAGCTCAGTGAGCCACACGCAAGAGAGACTTGGGAGATAGGAAGAAGCTCTTGGGATGCCAAGAAAGAGCCTAAGAAATAGCCACTGGTACTTGGAAGTAGTGTGTTAGGGAGAGGCTTGATGACTTTGGAG